GGAGCTTCAGAGCTTCAAAGCTTCAAAAACGAAGACGCGGAGCTTCACAGCTTCAGGAGCTTCAGAAGCTTCAGAAGCTTCACAGCTCCACCGAAGACGCGGAGCTTCAGAGCTTCAAGAGTTTCAAAGCCAAAGCGAAGACGCGGAGCTTCAGAGCTTCCAATCTTCAGAACGATTCCGCGACCACGCTGCCGATGCGGTCTATATAGAATATAAAAATTAATATATACATATATATAATTATGTATTTAGATATAAATAGCATGCAGTATTCCTTCGCTTGCTGTTGATTTTGTTTGGAGATGTGATTTGTTTTTGTTTTCCTCCTATGTTTCTTGAGTTTTTTAATTTGAGTTGTTCTTGAGTTATTTTGAGTTTTGTTGTTGAGTCTGTTTTGGATTTGAGTTCTTGAGTTGATTATTGTTTGATTATTTTTTGTTTTTATTTTTTTCAATGATTTCAGCCCTGTCTGGGCACTGCGATGTCTTAATGCTAAGGAGCCGCTGTTCCTCTACCAAGCCTGGCAAGGTGTCCATGACCCCAGACAGGTTCCACAGCACTATGTCGCTTTGCTGGCACTGCTAGCTGCTAGTTAGTGGGTTGGGAGATGTTGGAGCTTTCCAACAAGTTGATCAAATCACTGGCATTGTCCAAAAGCATCTTGAAAAGGCACCGAATAGCATCATACATGGGGTCACATTGCTTTTCTGTTTCCAGAACTGAATGTTTTGCAGATTGCACCCCGGCTGTCCCTCCAGACAAGAACCACAAAACATTAATTAATATTCATGGCCCTGTTTTAATTAGGGCGACTGAAGTAAGTGTGTGTGTGTGTGTTTGTGTTTGTGAGTTGCTATATAACTAGACACGTGAAATTGCTTAGTCAAGAGCAGGAGAGGGAGGAGATAAGAGGAGGAGAGGAGGGATTTCTCGACGCTAGCCAACGAAGCTAGAGAAATGAATGGAGGAGCCTGTGGACGCACAGCTAGCTCTACATGTGAAGGCCGCTTTCTGAGGAGCTTCGGGACATCCTCGCCACAAAAGACAAAGCTCACATCCAGCTTGGTCGCTTACGGGGCCTCAGTGTTCATCGCCCGGCCGAAGAACTTGCAACGGTTAGGCATGTGGGGCCTGGAATTGGCGCTGGTTGGTTGCTGGGCGTCCGCAACCTGAGAGGAGGATTCAACCGTTGGTCGTTGAAGTGGATGAGCGGCCTTGGACTTCATCGGCAACACTTTTCACGGCACACAGGCACACATAGGACCCACCGCCATGATGTCGTCGACGTAGACTGGAAATAAACTGGTGAAAATTAACCTCCCTCACCCCTTTCGTGGCAGCCACCAAGTCGCCTCCCAAGTCTGCCTGGTTGAAACTCTTCATTTTGGTGTCGCAAATCCGTGACATGGGGCAGCACCCATGGAAGCTCAAGTGAGGAGGCTCTCGAGCCTCGCCACGAAAGCGGTCACTCCATCTCCAAGCACTTTGCTCAGACAGCTGGGCTTTTAGGTGAGGGTCGATCTGCCTTGACTGACAGCAGGCCACTGCTGACTCAGCGTCGTTGCGGTTCGCACTCCCGCAACTCCCCCCGAGACGCACGCATCTACAAATGGAGCGTTCACACAGAATAGGCGCCTCAAGAGCTTCGCTCAGAATCGCTCATGTTCTTTGTTTTCCGGTCTCCAAAACGACGCACGCTTGCCTGCTCTTTCCGGTCCTCGCAGCTGCTGTAAAATACTGGTTCGGACTCGCACTCAGCCAGTTGAGCTGAGGCCTGTACTCTTTTGGACTGGCCGCCGGCCACATCGGTCAAAGGAGGTCAAGTGGCGGCGCACTCGTGCCCAGGGAGTGGCAAACCCTGGGCTTTGCCCTCCACTGGCGCCGTGAGGAACATCTCCCGGCCGACGGGAGCGTGCGCCTGGAGTCTCAATCCGGATGCCTGGCCGGCCTGGCCTGAGCACCAGGACCATCCAAGATGCAGCGCCACGGCGCTGCGAGGCCGCGGGTTCACTTGCGCCCTGTTGATTGAGCCCGTATGTGTTTCAGCTCTGTGATGTTCCACCGTTAGGTTCCACATGGTCCCACTGAATCAAGTGAGATGCACCCCCCAAACCCGCCCAGGTGGAGCCCTACGTCCATCGCATCCCAGACCTCAAACGTCGGGAGTTCGCCGGCATGGTCTCCGCGGTGGACGAGGGCATCGGCAACATCACGCGGAAGCTCCAGGAGAAGGGGATGTTGGCCGATGCGGCGCCTGGGGCGTCAGGTTGAAACGGTGTGTTTTGATATCTGTGGGTTTTGGCGCGGACAGCGCGTTCGTGGTGGGTGCCGTGGTGCCGTGGTGCGTACGTTGGGGTTGGGGAGTTGTGGTTTGGTGTTTGCTGGGCATTGGGGGGGGCAGCAGAGGAATGGGCGCACTGCAATGTATCAATGGTCCATTTGAGGCACCGCGAGCGTTTCAACAACTAGTTATACATTTGGTACCAACTCAATTAGTAGTCGACACCATCTTTGTTGTTGAATTCTTGCTTTATAGTAACAGTAAGGCCAGGAGGCTACTTAGTAGCGTCCTTGCTCCATTCGTAGCGATGCCCAAAATGCTCCGTTCGTAGCGGCCGATACGTTTGGTACCAACTCATGGACCCCGTCCAATCGCAGTAACAAGAGGACGCTACGAACGGAACAAAGGGCATCGCTACGAACGGAGCGATCGGACGCTACGAACGGGGCGCTCCTGGCATCGTAACTAGTAGGCGTCCTCGTCCAATATCTGAACCTTTTTGCGTCCCGTCTCATGGGCCTCGCGACAACGCGCCTCGCCTCGCGTGGGCCTTGTGAGGTGGTCATCGTCACCACGGACAATGGCGGCCCCATCGTGGACTGCGCTGGCATCGGCGCTTCGAACCTGCCCTTGCGAGGCAGAGCCCGGCAGACGGCGCGGACGCGCGGCCGCGAGGCGTCCGTCCGGGCAAGCTGAGCTAGGGATGGCATAGCGTGGGAAAGCCTGGGCATATGTCCGGCAGCAGGTCTTTGATGCTTCAGAGATGGATGAAGAAATGGAAGATGGTGAAGATATGTGAAGATCATAGGAATAGGCTCAAAATGTTCGCTCGGATGCTGGGCGTGGCGGTGTGAGACATGGTGATGCCATTCCAAGATGGCAGAACAGACCCGAACGCGGCTGCATCTTTTTCATGCGATTCAGGTGGCAAATGCTCGCTTTGGGAAGGAGGTACGCGCGGTACCTCCTTGCTTTTCGCGCCAGGACGGCTGGGTTTTGCAGCAGACCGCACCTTTTGTTTGTCCCTTTGGTTTGTCAACAAAGGTTTGAAGTTTGATCCTTGATCCTTTTGGTTTGATCCTGTTTGGCAGTTTGAAGTTTCGGCCATCTTCGGTGATCTTAGAATTCGGCCCATTCACATCCCTTCGCCCAGGATACGTTGAGCGAAGCTTCACCTGGCAGGGTTTGATGCACGGCGCTGACTGGTTGCCAACCCTGGTGGAAGGGGTGGCAGATGAAAGGAGAGCCTATGTGGATCGATGGGGTCGGTGAAGAGTTCTTTGGACGATGGACCCCATCGACCTTTTTGCCTTTCGTCCTTCGCCGCACTGGTTTTCTGGCCAATTACGGCCATGACGTGGTGTATGGACTCTACATGGATTGAGTGTTCACCCCTGGCAACATCAGGCCCACGTGTTCCACTCACGAGGTCCCCACTGCCTGTAGACAGACTTGTGCCAGGATTTGGGCCACCAAGCCTTTAGATGGCATGAACGTTCGTTGGCAGCAACCTGTGCAAGGGAACACCCCTTTGGAAGGTGAGGGTTTGTGATTTGTGCGCAATATTAACTTCCCTTAACTCGCACTATCTCACACTAAGACCATACTGAAAACATCTTTCTTGAAACATGCTTGTGTCCATAAGTTGCCTCAGGCCAGCCAGTAGCGGATCAGACGGGTGGGATGAATGACTCCAAATGTGGCCATGTCAATGGGGGGGCCAGATGGGGACTCGTTGAGTCTTTTGGGAAGCTACGAACGGGGCTCCTGGCCTTACTACTAGGAGCAAGGACGCTACTAGGGGCTCCTGGCATCGCTACTAGGGGCATTCTTACTACTAGTAACAAGAAGCCACTAGGACCATGTTTGGTTCACTGGAAGACCGTGGCGCTTTCCTTTTCGAGAGATCACCGAAGACCGGCCAGCCCGCGCGGATGGCGAGATTTGGGCCCCAAATCCTGAGGCCAATGAATGCCGTAAATGCAGGATTGAGATTATTGAGATTTGGGTTTCACAGTGGGCTATGGTCTCAGCATTTGGCCAGCAAAGGCTCCAGAACCCTTTGGGTGTTAGACATGTTTGGACTACAGGCTTGGAACTTCACTCCGCAAAACTTCAGGTTTGGCCACAGCTGATTGGAGACTTGGATTGTGCTGGCGATTCCGAACACCCGTGAAAGCCAAGTAGGCGGAGATCCAGCAGAACCTGACATGTAGAATGAATGCCCCACAATGTTGCATGTTTTTCGAAGAGGCCAGCATCCAAGGTGGTGGATCTCCTTGAGGCCTTCTCTCGGTAGGAGTTTGATAAACTCGAAGATCTGACAGATAGGTTGGTGCACAGTTGGAAGCTGAGCTGCTTGACTGGCCTGTCCATTTGAGGCACGTGTTTTGAATCAACACCTGGGCCAGGATGGGTTCCACACTGTTGACCCGTACTACCGGCAGGTGGTCCACCAACAAGTCCTCAATCTAGTCCTGGTTGCTCTGTGTGAAGTGATGGCCATCCAGGCCGTGCCCGCTGCACCCGCTCCAGGAAACCGGTCTTCGCCCCGACAGGAGCTCTACTATGGCCTGGCCGACTCCCAGGTGCGTCGGTGTCCGGTGAGAATGCTATCGATGCCTTCAGCACTCACCTTTAGACATCCAACGAAGGAGAATCCAACATGAAGGAATCCTTTCGAGGTCGGTCCAAATCACACCACCGATTCCACTCTCAGATTGAGTGTGATTGTTATTTGGTAATTGTGTTTTTTCATTTTGAGGCTGTGCAGAGGCACTCTCGAATTGCTTCAGGTGGGCCACCATGGCCCCGCCTTACGCGAGGGGCCCTGGAAGCTGATTGTGGGCACTGGAGGCGGCTCTGGTGATCATCCTCACTGGTGGAGGAGCACCGGACGTGCGAAGACCTGTGCCCCCTCAGACCAATTTAAGCCTCCTCGTTTGGGGGAGGTCCGCTGGTGCCATTTACTCTTTGAACCGTCGAACTCGAACTCGAACTCTTTGAAGTTGTTACTAGTAGCTTCTTGTTACTACTAGTAAGGCACTTGTTACTA